CATATTTCCTCACTACATGGCTTGGCTCTGACCTTCTTGCCTACTAAAGAGATCCTTTGGACAGATGTTCAGCTGGTTCTGCTTGCTATTGCATTCGTACGTGATCCCCATTGGGATTCCTTGTTTCTTTCTGTCCAGATCCACAAGCATCTTTGTTCCTCAAAGGCGGGAGTCGTGTGCTTGCAGTACAGTGTGCCTGCCACTTGAGTGGTGAGTGTGGTTTAGTCTCACGGGGATTCATGCAGAGATTCTGGACAATAACCATCACCCATCTTTTAGACCTACTGGGATGGTGACGCTCTGGAAGAAAACCATATGCTGCTCTCGCCTATTTCCATGGTCTTTGGCTGGTGTGGAATGCCTTTAAATTTGGGTCTTTAAGGTTTTTCCTGGACTGTTGATTGATTGATAAACCCAAGTACCAGTGGGTCTGCCAGAAAGTTTTGACTAGTTCTTGTCGCAAAACTCCACCTGCCTCACATGATAAGACAGCTACACTGAGAGTAAATAGAAAATGGGTGAGTTGTGTGTATGTCAGATGGAGTTTACACAATAGGAAACCGCTGGCCTGAAAATAACTTGACAATTTCCTAGATCTGTAATTGTCCCACCACAAAACTGGAGCTTTACTTCTGGGGATTTCTGCCCAAGTTTGGTCTCTTCCTAATGTTAGATATTAAGATCTTATTCTTTACTTCACAATTACTACAATTAGGACATTGAAAGGACGATGTCTTAATCTATCTAATCCTCAGTATCCAGCTGAGGGCCTGGCACATAGTCCTTGGTAAAGGTTTGCATGATTAAGTTCATTCAGCGCCATACTTCTAATGCATCTTCAGAAGCCTGCTTTATTGGACCAGTGTATGAATTCAAGCCTTATTCACTTTTTTCCACCCCCTAGGTGGAAATTTTTCCTCACATATTGAAGTAACTTCATATTTGGGGTATCTTAAAATATATGACTGAATTTAAAATTTCCCTTGTGATAACAAAACTTGGAATTCTGAATTCTGAAACTAATACCTCTATCAGAGGCAACCCACGATAGCGAGGGCTTATTGTAGGTTTAACTTTTTTTTTTTTTGAGCGAAGTTGCAGACAAAATTGGAATCAGCATATTCAAGTTAATATAAAATGATATGCTCTGAGGATTTCAGGTAACCTTAATCTATGCAGTAGAATGATTTGAAAGCTAAGATATGAGAGCTCAAAGGCACCTCCAACCACATCCTTATTTTAGAGATGAGGAAACAGGCCCCAGGGTCACTCAGTTTAGTAGCAGAATCAAAATGTGACAGGCAGATCTCTACTGTCCTTTCTTTTACCCTAAGTGGAATACTGGTCGTAAGGCAACGATCAGAGTCCTGACGAGACGGCAGGTTGTTACGGAATTGCACTGCCTATGTAAGAATCTGCTCTTACTATTGGACTGTGTGAGCTGTGTGACCTTGGACAACCTACATAATTCCCTGACCCTTAGCTTTTCCATCTGTAAACTAGAGGTCTAGTTTATGTAGAGATCTAGTCCAGGGGTCAGCAAACTTTTGAGATGGAAGAGCCAATCCTGTCCCTCAGAACAATTGAAAACTTATTTGAGAGCCATAAAACAAATGAAATCATTATGTAAAAAATATCCTTTAAAAATTTTATAAACCATGATAGTTTAATTTTCATTTTCAATTTTACTTCAGAGCCACATGTACGTATGTACCCAAAGAGCCGCATGTGGCTCACCAGCTGCAGTTTGCCGACCCCTGCTCTAGACTAAGTCTAGAGTAAATATGTCATGAGGTTTTAATGAAAATTAAAATGGTTTATAAGTACTCAAAAAATGTTAGCTCTTGGAGTATTGTCTGTTTACAGGTGATGAAAAAGGACAGTGGGAGAAGATCCCTGAGGTTAGAGACCGTGTCCATCTTACCATCGTGTCTCCAGTACTTGGCACATAAATACAAGCTGTTTAGCAAATGTTTGTTGAATTACTAAATGAGGGTGGTCAGGGCAGAGCTTTTCAGAGATCTCTTCATATTGTGGCTTTTCCTGAATGTCTCTCTCAGACTAAGCCATTTCAGTTCTGCCTAATGCCAGGGTTCTGAGCTTTCTTGGCATATTTTGTGCCACTTTGGACTATACCAAGGAAATCAGCATAAATCACAGCGTCAGTGAGTCCCCTGGCAGGAAGGGCCTGGTGCCACATCAACGTTTGAATCCCCAAAGACAATGCTGGCCGTACATCCGAAAGCGAAGTTTCTATCTGAACATTTATTCCACAGCCATAGAAACTGAAGATGGAAAAGACCTGAGGACATCTAGTCCATCCACGTGGTTGTACAAGAAAAGTGGCTGGAGCAAAACAGCCGGTTCACTGCATGCTCACAAGACAGCGTTTCCGTTCTTCCTGGAGCGGAGCGATTGCAAACACATTGAAATGAAGACACAATGCAAACACTCTTTACAAACCTTAAGAAAATACTTTAAGTACATTATTCTCATCAAACAATTAGGAACCAAACTAAAAAAAAAAAAAAAGTGAGGGAATCCTGGATCAGATGCATAGTGTCAGTGGGGGAAGAAAGGAATAAACAGTGAAAATAGTGAAGTGGTTTTGATGACTGGAAAGCAGTTTCTTCTGAAGAGTGGTTTCTGGCTGGCTTATCAAAAAGCTGAGTGGGGAAGGAGGGAGGCTGTAAAGTGATTCCTTTCCCCCTCCTGCTTTATCCACACCAAGGAAGTGCTCCCTTGCTCCTAGGCCCTAACAGACCCAACACCAACGCTGAGAAGCCTGTTGCCAGGTGACCCAGCTCTGTTCTTCTGGGCAGTTGCTCCGCCTACCACTTCTTTGGTTGGCACAGAAGCAGCGGCTCCTTAATAGAGCTTGTGCCACAACAAGATCCACGAAAAATGGAGTCACCTCCAGGACATTAAAGACCTCAACTGATCGTCCCTGGGGCTGCCTCACGTGTTTGTCCCACTCATTCTTCCAACGTGTCTAATTGTGGAAGGAAGCCCCTTGGCTCCTCTACCTGGAGGCATCCATGCTCCGGGGCCCTTACTATTTCCATGAACCAATGTGTTCTATCTGTTCTAACTCACCGAGTCAGACTTCACTGTGTGCTTCCAGTTCCAGAAATCCCCTCTTGGAAAAGAGGGGTGGGGGTGTGTGACATAATCAGGTGGCCATGTTCCAGGTTGCCCAGCACCAGAACTTGGAACAATAAAATGGCCTTCCCGACCTCGTGAAATAGGAGAGCTCACAGAAGGAGGCAAGGTTGTGTCCCTTACGTTTTTCTTCTTTACCAAAACACCACCCTCCACCTGAGGACTTCTGATCTTGGTGTTTTTTTGAGCCTGAGGGGAGTTGAGAGAACAGAGGCGGAACAGAAATAGAAAGGAGGGTTCTCAAAGGACCCATCATTTCATGAAATCTTTTTACAAAACACAACACACTGTTTCACAAATTGCAAAACACTGTTCAACCACTACTGATAAAAATGACCATTGTTACGTAACATGAAGACGGCTTCATTTCACCGCAAGCAATTATGCTTTGTTTTTCTTTGTCCAGAACCTGGAGGCATTTCAAGCAGTGCTGATGGCATTAAGTTTGCTTTCAGTCCCTGCTGCTTCATGCCGTGTCCTGGCCACCGTTTTGGCCCCGTAGTTCCTCGGAAGATACTCGAGGAGCTGTGCACTTGGTCATTTACTTTGTGGAGAGGCAGAGCGCTCTGGCATGTTATCACCCCTGCTCAGAATGCCTCAGTAGAGAAGCTTAAGGTAAACCTGATATACAAAAATCCAAACTTACAAAACAGATACACTAAGGGATAATTAATTGCATTACAAAAGGATTGTTTACAAAAGAATTCGCCTCTGGGTTCCTTGCAATAGCCAGCTTCTCAAGTAGAGTCAGGAAGTGAGTTATAAAAACGTTCACGTACCACATGAGGAGCATGGCTGTTATGTGAGTTGAGGTACACCTGGAGTCAGCCTCCCAGGCTGCGCATGAATGGCAGGGTCTCTACAGCAGCCTCAGCAGTTGCAGGTGGGAGGGGATGGCTAAGGAGCATAATCTTCCCAAAGCAGCTGCAAACCTACTTCTGGGCCTGGGGTGAGAACGTGGGCGGAGAGGGTATTTCATTCAAAGCAGGCTGGTGCTTTCTGTTTCCAGGACTCACCTGTTCCCTCGCTGTGGAACCCTTTCATCTGGGAGGTTGATGAAGTCTAACTTTAGAGCCCTCCCCCCTCCCTCATCAGTATCTCTGCGCCTGCAGCCACCCCTGGGTTTTCTCAATAACTAACTGCTAAAGTGTTATCTAATTACAGCTTAGGGTGTTCTCTTTGCCTGGGAGACTGGGTCACCTTTGGTGGAAAGGCAGGGGTTCCATCCAAAAGTAGCGAGTGCCATGCCTTTGCAGGGGTCTGTGGCTGTGACAGCACCAGGGCTCGGCACAGTGCTGCGGACTCACTGTTGGCATTCGGATGGATTGGGTGCAGTGAAGAGCATTAAGATAAAGCAAATAACTGATAAACACTGATGTCTAGTCCTAAATGGTGCCCGGGGTGGGAGTGGCTGTGCGGAAGGTGAATCAGCAGGAGTGTCCCGAAGTTTCAAGAACTCTCAGAAAGACTCTTCTCACTTCTTCCTGTGCCTGGGGCAGTCATATGTCTAGAACAATGTTTTTTGATGGGTAATTTTTGGACCATATGTGTCAGTCGTCCGGGGGTGTTGGTTACCAGGAGTTTCTGAGTTCACCTCCAGTCTCTTTCCCGCCCCGCCCATCCTTGGCGAAGGGTCCTGACAATCAGCATTTTAATGAGCTCCTAAATGATTCCTATCTCCCCTAACCCTGGGAACTGAAGTTCCATAGTTCCCATATTCCTCCCGCTTTCTGCATGTCCAGCAGTTGTGCACTAGGAAAGGGATGGCTCAGCAGAGGGAAAAACAAGTTACTGATATCAGTTTCTTGGGGCCGTTGGATGGGGCCTGGGGGAGAACTGGAGGGACCAGCCTGTTTGTAGGTCCTCGGAGGAGAGTGGGTGCGAGACTGGGGGATTTCAATACAGATATGAAAAGCACAGGGCACATTCCTGGATGGTGAAGCTTGTGATGGTCGCAAGCCTGAGGTTCACTTTGGGGATTCTGAGAGCTAAGAGATAGGTGACTGCCGATCTGAACATGGCCGAGTACGTGGTTTGCAGGATATTTTCACTTAACCCACAGCTCCCATATCAGGTACAGGCTATAAGCAGGGACACTCCAGCTTTATCCTAAGGCCACATCCTTGCTTTGCTTTTCTCCCTTTCCTTCTCCTTCACAAAAGGCACACACACTATAGTGGAGAAGCTTTGTTAGATTAGAAGTCTAGTCCTATTCGTCCCTTAGCCAAAGTGCTTTTCTGGCCCAGAGCTTTTGTTCTAAAAGCATGGGTACATTTTTAATGCCTCTTCATTCTATCCTGTTACCACTCACCACATCCCTGTCCCCTGTCATAGTGGCATGTAAATGCGTTCCCATTAAATGTTAGTCAGGATGGTATTGGAGATCCAGGACCCTTTCAAAACCATGGCTCTTGCCTGAGCCAATCAATCCTTGGCCTGGTGTGATACTAGTTCAGTTAACGTTTTAAGCACTCACCACCCTAAATTTTTCTAGCTCTGACCCTGTGTCCCATTCAGAATGCAGGAACACATCTAGATTGGGAAATTGTATCAAAAGCCACAACCCTGGCTAATCCTGCTCTCTACTAAGAATAAACTCAACAACCCAGTAAGACACAGGTGTAAGTCATCATTTTTTATCTCTTGTTGCTAGGGCAGAGAAAGGACTGAAACCCAGAAATATGACTGGCACCTGGTGAAACGGTTAACAGGAGCTAGGGTTGTGTGGTTACTCACAGATCCCTTGGTGTTCACTCCTGACTTAAGATTCTTGCTCTGAAAGACTGCTACCCTGGAGACCTAGGGAGTGGGCTTGGGAAGAGCTACTCCTGCTGCTTTGTAGGCTAGGCAGAGTGGACTTGACCTCTGAGAAGACCTAGACCTCAGGTTCCCACACCTTTGTCAGTCGTTACAAAAGAGCATTACAAAGTGTCTCAAGGGCTCAGAGGGAGGCCAGGAACTGAGAAAGGGGGGCAGCTGGTTGCCTAGGACTCACAAGTCCGGTGTGTCCTTTGATACTCTTCCAGCTCTGTTTTCCTGCTCACTGCCAGCTGCAGCTCTTGCCGGATCACCTGAATCTGCTTCTCGAGTTCTGAGAGCTCCTGCATCACTGCGTTCCGAGCTGTGTGCAGGGAGTCCGCTTTCCCGTTGGTGGTCAGCGACGCAGGCAGCTCTCTTCTCCTTGGAGGGAGAGGGATGTCTTGGTGGGTCCCGAGGCCCAGCTGGTTTTGTGCTCCCTCATCACTAAGGGTGTACTTTCGTCGGTTGTCGTGACTCAGATGGGAAGTATTCCACACGGAGAGCTGACGGGGTCCCAAGTTGGACCTAGGAACCAAAGAGGCACTTTAGATTGACCTTCCACTCTGCAGTTCTCAAAGTGTTATTCCTGACCTGTTAAGCCATTTCCTGTGTGAACAATATGGAGCTGGATATGCATTCAGAAATAAGTAACAAAGCCACGGACAGACAGCCTGCTAGATAGGATTATGGGGACAAAAGGAGCCTATACAATTTTCAACTGAAGTTCAAGGTCTCATCAAGTCTTATGCTGTCCTGAAACTGGGCATGAGTGTATCATCTGAGGGCTGATGGACTAGAGTGTGGCACGTTCTTTTTTTTTTGATGAACTCTAGTATTTATTAAATTATAAATTTTGTAATCAAAAAGAAAACTGCGGGTCAAGAGAAACCTCAAACTACAAAAACTAGACAGCAAAGTCTGGGGAACCATGAAGTGTGTTACAGACAAGACTCTGAAACATAAGTTATTACATGTTTTCTTTACATTTCCTTTTAAGTAACTTTACTATTAAATAGTTTTTGTCTATTTAAANATTCAGTGTATGGAAATCTAAAAAGAAAATGGAAGCAAGACTCTCTCACAATAGTCCTAATCAGTTTGAGCACTGTTCACACCTTTTAGCTGCATCATGAATAACATTCATAAATATTCATGAGTCCATTGAATTTTACCAGGGGAAAAGCAAGAACTATTAACAGTATGTGGTCTTGGGTATAATTTATGCTCCAAGCATCTCTTGTATATAAAAGAGGAGACCCTCATTCTATGAAATCTGTTTATTTGGTCATTAGCAAGGGTGATGGTGGTGGTGGTGGTGGTGTGGTTGGGGGAGGGGAGACGTGCTGGAATTAGTTTTCATCAGAATTCAAACTTCTGTCATTTACAGTAACCTGTAACAACAGAGAAGCAGCCCTGGCTTTGTGATGATATGGGATGAGGCTGGAGAATTGTTGGTGTCCAGCCTGCTTACGCAGCAACTCAACTTGAAATACCATTGACCACACTTAAAACAAATAGTTACTGTCATTTATTTAAAGACCTGTTTTAAGTGCAGCCTATGGTTTGTATAAGACATCTTCATGTTTTCCCACTCAAACCTCAAAGCTGAGCTGGAAGAAAGGAATGACAGGGTACCATCAAAGCTGGCTAATCTAGCACTTTGCAAAATAGAAAATTCCAGAATCATGTATTTCTCAAGTCCTGCAAAAAAAGTCTTCAGTTGCATAACATATGTAAGTAATAATCAAAAGAACATTTAGGTTGGAATTCTAAGATGCTTGTAATTTAAAATGCTCTTGCTTTTTTGCAGATGGTCCATGAGGGAGGGTGCACCAATTCTAATTTCTTGCACGTGCTTATCATTTAGCAAATATTTTTTCTTCTGTGCGCATAGCCCTAAACTAAGGGAAGGAAGAGAGAACATTTGTTAAGCTAGGTGTTCTCCACAAACTAGCTCACTAATTAAACATATTTCACTATTTACAA